CGGTGTGGCCCAGATGAACTTAGGAATTATATTAAGTTATTTCAATGCACGTTTTTTCCGCAACTCCTTGGATATTAGGTGTGTGTTTCTTCCTCTAACTTATGCTCTGTTTTCCACTTGCTTTACTAAAGGGATTAAACTGAAGCTTACTTTGCATCTTGATGTTAGGTTTCAGTTTGTGCCACAGATGATATTTCTCAACTCCCTTTTTGGCTATCTTTCATTGCTCGTTATAATTAAGTGGTGCACTGGCTCTCAAGCAGACCTTTACCATGTGATGATCTATATGTTTTTGAGTCCCACTGATGATCTTGGTGATAATGAATTGTTTTGGGGCCAAAGAGCACTTCAGGTGTGCTTTTCTCTCTCCCGGCTACTGTTGCAGACTGTTATTTTCCATATTATTGTATTTCAAGTCTTCTAAGCAGTCTATTGCTGCTTAAATTGTGCAGATTTTATTGCTTCTTTTGGCATTAGTTGCGGTCCCATGGATGCTCTTTCCTAAACCTTTTATTTTGAAGAAGCTTCATTCTGAGGTACTATGTGGTTGGCCTTTCGTGGGGCTTGTTTTCTTAATCCTAATTTACTATTTCTTCTGTTAGAATAAATTTGGAATAATTTGAATAAATGTCTTGTTGATCATTTGAACTTTTTCCCCCGTCAATATGTTTTAGAGATTTCAAGGTCGCACCTATGGCTTGCTTGGTACATCTGAGTTTGATCTTGACGTGGAACCTGATTCTGCACGTCAACATCATGAGGAGTTCAACTTTAGTGAGGTTTTTGTGCACCAAATGATACACTCTATCGAGTTTGTTCTAGGTGCTGTCTCGAACACGGCATCGTATCTTCGACTTTGGGCTCTGAGGTGAGAATTATGATTTTCTGAGTTCCAATGTGTTGCACCATATCTTAAATAAATGTTTGGTTAATGTCTGCTTCTAATACGTTACAGCTTGGCGCACTCTGAATTATCAACTGTTTTCTACGAGAAAGTCCTACTACTTGCATGGGGGTGAGTTCTTTGACTGTTCTACATGGTGCATGTTACTCTTGTGCATATTTCAGCATTGTCCATCTCTTCGTGTTCTCTTTCCGAGGTTACGGCTTTTGAGTGTGAGTTGAATAACTTCATCGGATAGCAAAAAGTAGATTCTCTAGTTGGAGCTTTGCCCAGTTTGAATAATTCATGGCATTGAAACTAGAATCAAGATTTAGTCCTGTCGATATGTTATTACGCTCCATGTTTTCATGTGCCCAATGTGCTTAAGCATTTACGTTCTCTTGATCCTTGTAACTGTTCTATGGAATGATAATGACTCGACGAGGAATTATTATTACAGGTACGACAGCTTCATCATTCGATTAATCGGGCTTGCAGTGTTTGCTTTCGCAACTGCTTTCATACTGCTCATGATGGAGACCCTCAGTGCTTTCCTTCACGCCCTGCGTCTTCACTGGGTGGAATTTCAAAATAAATTCTACCACGGTGATGGGTACAAGTTCAAACCGTTCTCATTTGCTTTGATAACAGAACACGATGATTAATTAATTAAGAGCATAATCCTTGCATATTGATTTTTCGGATATTAAGTATGCAAGAGAAGAGGTGAATGGTAGCCACAGGAAAATGGATATATCGGCTGACTGGCTAGGGTTTGCTCATCTCATCCCAGCTTTTTTGTGCTTTACACAAATTATACAATAGGAATTCGAAATGCCAGCACTTGTGTTTTCTTTTTAGTTTCTGTCTTGGCATAAAAGATTTTGCAAATAGTCATTCACATTAAGAGTGGTGTCTTGGAACAGAAGAAATTGGTTGGTGGGAGGAGGGTGTTATTCTATGTTATCCGGATTTGAAGTGAGTGTCGGATTCGAGTATAGCGCTTGTTGAAAATAGAGGTGCTGCGGATTTCGATCATTTTTCTTCAAATGGACAGAATGGGTTGGGAGTAAAGGGTAGATATATAAAATTTTAATTACACTGACAAAATAGTGGGTCATTTTGCAGGTAATGTAATATGATACATAAACATTCTTACTCTTATTATTAGAGAATTCCAAAGACCAGCTCCCTTCTAATCTTTCTGAGTATTATTGTTGTGGCCAAGCTATCTTTCTTTTTTTAATAAACTACCTATTTAATCACTCATCTATTCTCATATCTTTCTTTTGGTATTTCAACTTTCTTAACGTTTTGTTTTTGTTTTGATCGCACATTAAAAAGTTAATGTTAATATTGCTATGGTATTTTTTATTTACTTTTTAAAAAATTAACGTTATCTTTTTAAGGACGGGTGATCAAAACAGAAACAAAACCTAATGTTAAGATTTTAAAAAAGTAGTTGTGACCAAAACAGAAACATTGGAATAAGTAGATGACTAAATAGGTGGTTTATCCTAATTTTTTTTACAACTCACGTGCTTCTAACACAAACAAATCTTATAACTTGAATTCGCGACTTGGATGGAGTGGTAAACACTCTTGATAACTAAGCCAAACATTGGGATTAATAAAAGCAATCGTGTTCAGAAAAAATGTTGGATGAAATTCTATATCAAATAGGTATGCTTTGTTTTACTGTATGTATAAGTAGATGGAACAAGCCTGCAAAAACTCGAAATACTCATCCGTTAATACCGGTCGAGCTTCTTCTGCTATTCCCTACGGAATCAACGAGCAATTCAAGAACTGATCAAAGCTTTGATGCTACTGCATGTTAATTGATTTCATGTTGAAGTTTATGATCTAAATTTTATTCGATTGGATCCCATTTTTTTATATGATATGTCTGGTAAATAAATTTAGGGTAAAATATATAAATAGTCCCCAAATTTTTAGGATGCTTGCATTTTAGTCACCTAACTTTTGAAACTTGCAATACAATTATTGAACTTTTAGTTAGTTTTCAGTAAGGTACCTGCCGTTGCCTCCCGTTAGTTTTAGGTGATGTGACATTAACTCTCGTTAACCCCTTCTTGTGACATTAACTCTCGTTAACCCCTTCTTCTTATTCTTCTTTTTCCTAACCAACGGCGGACAAAGGAAGGAAGACGGCGAGGAGGCATGACCGACTAGGTTTTGGTTGGAACGGTGTGAGGCCTCCAATGGTGGTGGCGGTGTGCCGAATGGATGGTCGAATTGACCAGAAATTGATGAAAATAAAAATGAGGCGATGGGTTTTTCTGATGAGATTCGAGGGCCTCTCCACGGCGAACGGTTGTGAGTCTCTGCCAATGGCTAGCGGGGTTTTGGTCGGAATGGGGTGGCACTCCTACTGGTACCGATGTTGATGGTTACTGGCGATTGATGAAGGAGATCAGTGGCGATGGGTTTTTCTGATGAGATTCGAGGGCCTCTCCACGGCGAACGGTTGTGAGTCTCTGCCAATGGCTAGCGGGGTTTTGGTCGGAATGGGGTGGCACTCCTACTGGTACCGATGTTGACGGTTACTGGCGATTGATGAAGGAGATCATGATGGGTGTTCGAACGATCTTCTTACGATTTGGGATGAACGGTGGACAGTGAGTATGATGGTGAGAGCCACCGCTGACCAAAGATGAGTGATCAAAGGTGAGAAAGAAGAAGAAGAAGAAGAAGAAGTGGGTTAACTAGAGTTAAGTGTCACGTCAGTTAAAATTAACGAGAGGCAACGACAAAGACTTTATTGAAAATGAACTAAAAGTTTGTTGATTGTATTGTAAATTTCAAAAGTTGGGTGATCAAAATGTAAGCATTCTAAAAGTTTAGGGACTATTTATATATTTATCCATAAATTTATTTATTAAAAAAAGATATAGTTTTATTATAAGGTTATGATACTCATGTCAATAATTAAACACATATGAAAATATTATATCAATTAATCAACTAATTATTTTTATAAGAAAATTATTTTAATAAAATATTAAAAGTTAAAAGGTACTATTTCCAATAGTGTTTTCAATAGTATTTTTATACGAGACGAGACGAGACGGACGGCGACGACGGCGGCGCGTGAGAGTCCCCCTTGTTCTCTATCACTCAACAAGGAAGTGAGAAAGCCAAGCCTTAAATACTATTCCCAATAGTGTTTCCAATACTATGTGGGATTTGAGCATTACCAACACTTGTTCCCAATACTATGTGGGATTGAGCCTTAAATAGTGATATTATTTTTTAATGTTTTGCTTAAAATTGCAATAATCGCGATTGATTGTAGATTGACTTTTAATTATGACATATTTAATCGCATAATACTAATGCAATTGGTTGCTAATTCAGTTGTTTTAAGGTGCATGATTGTTAATTATTTCCTGAATAATCACATTGTATTGGAAACAAGTGTTGGTAATGCTCAATCCCACATAGTATTGGAAACACTATAGGGAATGGTATTTAAGGCTTGGCTTTCCCACTTCCTTGTTGAGTGATAGAGAACAAGGGGGACTCTCGCGCGCCGCAGCCGCCGTCGTCCGTCTCGGTCGTGGTCGTGGTCGTGGTCATACGTGTCTTCGACACGTCCGCGCGGATACTATCTTTTTAGAGAAAATTCTTAAGAAACAAAATCTTTTTTTTAACTATCGCAACAACAACTGTAGACTATCGCAACGCGAAATGGAAAATCGCAACGCGATTTTCAACTATCGCAACGCGAAATGGAAAATCGTAACGCGATTTTCAACTATCGCAACGCGAAATGCAACGCGAATTTGCGATAGTGGAGATCGCAATGCGAATTAGAGATCACATTACGATTTTGTTGGTCATTTTCACAAATTCAAAAAAAATTGGTCAAAATCCTATATTATCTAGGATTTTTGGTCACTGAGGTTATTTTCTCATAAAATTATTGAATCTATTGGATCTAAGAATTGGTATAGTTTAGGGGCAATTAACAAATAAACCCTATATTATATATATTAAAATAATGAACATAGATACATGTTTGGGCGTGACCCATTCTAATCCAACGTCCCACAATATTGCATGACACCTGATCTCATCATGTCTACCGTCGATCCTTTCTTGGAAATGAACGGTGATGAAAAGTCTACTCCCCTCACCCTTTCACCGCTTTTGCCCCCAAATTTCCACTGCATATTTCTCTAATTTCTCGTAATCTTCGAACAGCTTCTCTGATCCGAAGGACGAATTATAAATCGTCAGAGGTATCGTTCTTTTTTCTGGATTTTTTTATTAGATCCTGCAGTCTAATTGATTGGATGTTTTCTGATTTTTTTTAACCTGCTGCAGTTTGATTTGAATACTTTGGGTTTTTAACTTCTAGGGTTTGTTAGATTTGGGCTTCTTTGATTGTAGGAGTAAGTTGAGGTTCTGGGTAAAATTTCCCTTTTAATCTTTCCAGTCCGGGGATTTTGGTTTAAGGCATTGAATTAACAGTTTTAGGTTAAAAATTCTTTCATTTTATGGAATTTGAGTGCCAGGAAAGCACCGAGGCTTTTACGAATCTAGCAAACTGTTCTGAAACAAATCATTTTAGTTCCAATTCCGTAAACGAGGATTTAGAACTTTCGAAACTGACATTGGGTTGTAATCCTAAGAAAGGGATTCCGAGTTCTTGTAGTTCGAAACAGATACCTCCTAATGACATTTTTTCGAATGTCTGGCGCTCGATCACCGATCTCCCACCGGCCTTGATATCAGAGATTTTGAATTGTCTTGACCCTAAAGAGCTTGGTGTAGTGTCTTGTGTGTCAGCCACTCTCCATAATATTGCATCTGAGCATCGGGTTTGGAAGGAATTTTATTGTGAGAGGTGGGGTTTACCTACTGCTCGGTTTTCTGATGAGAAGTCATGGAAGGAATTGTTTGTGGAGAGGGAGTATAGGAGCAAGACTTTTTTAGGAAGGTATAGCATCGATGTTCTACATGGTCATACTGAAGCTGTTCGAACCGTGTTTTTATTGGCTTCTGCCAAGCTCATTTTTACAGCCGGATATGACTCGATTGTCCGAATGTGGGATATGGAAGAGGGGTTGTCAATCTCGTTGTCCCGGCCACTTGGTTGTACTATTAGGGCAGTTGCAGCAGATACTAAACTATTGGTTGCTGGGGGTACTGATGGATTTATCCATTGTTGGAAGGCAGTTGAGGGTCTTGAGCATTTCTTTGACCTAACGGGTGTTGAGAAACCAAACACCGAACATCGGCTTTGGGAACACGAGGGGCCTATAACTTCTCTTGCTTTGGACCTTACTAGGATATATAGTGGTTCTTGGGATATGACGGTTCGTGTCTGGAACCGTTCATCATTTAAGTGCACACAGATCTTGAGGCATGGTGACTGGATTTGGAGCCTTGTTCCTCACGACACGACTGTTGCGAGCACGTCCGGTTCGGATGTGTATGTTTGGGAGACTAACAGTGGGACTCTGTTAAGTGTCATTCACAATGCTCATGCTGGTTATGCATATGCCTTAGCACGGAGCCGCACTGGAGACTTCCTTTTTACCGGAGGAGAAGATGGGGCAGTACATATGTTCGAGATCATAACCGAGTCTAAAGAACATGTCATTTTGCAGGTCGCAACATGGATTCCTCACTCAGGAGCTGTTTATGCCCTCGCATTTGAGTTTCCTTGGCTTGTTTCAGCTTCCAGTGACGGGAAACTCGCTTTAATTGATGTTCGAAAGTTGTTGAGGGCCAGTAGGCAGTTTTCAGGGAAAAGAGTTCCAAAGGTTAAAGAATCTGACCAAAATACTATAGAACCACCCCAGAGAATGCTGCATGGATTCGGGTGCAATCTATACTCGGTCAATATCGGAGCAGATCGAATCGTCTGTGGGGGTGAGGAAGGTGTCGTTCGTATTTGGAACTTCTCACAAGCTCTAGAAATCGAGCAGAGGGCCCGAGCTCTAAGAGGAATACGTTTGGAGAATAGAATGAGGCGGCGCAGACTTCAGATCGAGATGAATGGTAAGGGTGGACAAAGCAATCGATGCTCGGTTGCTGCCAAGAAGAATCCGGTGAATGGTCATAGCAAACGCAGCATTAACTCGAAGGTGAAAACATAACATCTGGTATGCTACATACTATATATATTCCTCTAAGCTTCCAACATATATATCCTGCTTCTCATTTATGATAAAATTCATACACATTAGCATCGGATTTTAATCATATCATTGTTGCTTGTTTTCTTGTTATAATTATTGCTTTATTTTTTTATATTCTTATTTTATGATGGATTTTTCCGAAATAAGCAGGCAGCTCGATTCGATCCATAGAACACTCTTGATTAAAATGATATGGTTCCATAATAGAAATAATATGTATTACTAATGAGATTATTAATGATTGTTACAAACATGTCACTTGTCGCTAATCGTGCAACGTATGTTAATCTTTGACTTACAATTGATGACTTGATTGTAACAATTAATAAATTAAGTGATCTTATTATTATAATTCATAAATAGAATGATCCGAGTTTAATCCTTTTCGAGTGGGAAAAGGATCATGGTTCTGAATATGAGTGTTAAAAGAATGTTTTGAAATAGATTTTTATAAACTCGAATATCGAATTAATTAAGTAATAAATTGGATATCAATCTATTAAAAAATTCTTTTAATTTTTTTATAAATTCACTCGAACTCTTAAATTATAAAAAAGTAATTAATTGATTAACTAATTGAATTAATTTTATCAGAAAAGTTAATTAGACGGCAAATCCTAATTATGAGCATAATTAAAAGCATAATTAAAAACATAATTACTATGTCATAAACTTCGCAGGTGATTATACTCAACTTATATTAGTAAAAAAAGATAAAATTAATTATCTAAATTTATTCCGATTGAAATATTATACAAATAAATAAATTTCTTTTTTTTATCATGTAATTGTTTACTAAACAAATTTCAATAATTCTGATAAATTCAAAAATGGATTCCAAGAAAATTAAAAAAAAAAAATAAGCCGTTGTTGAACACGTAATGAATAAATAATTCTAAGTTACATCTTCAAATCGCTAAATATTTTCGCCAAAATCTCCTCCGATGGTGAAAGAGGTCTCCTGGATTTTTTAAACCTGGGAGAATTTATCTTCATCTTCACCAACAACAATCTTAAAATTCCTTTCACATTAGCCTTGCATACAAGTTTCCCGCAAATCGAACACGATCTATAATCAGATCGATTGATCCCGCATTAGTCGCAATATAATTAAATTCATAACAAAAAAATTAAAGAAAAAAAGAATCGATAAATCAAAGAGAACAAAAAACGCTTACAAGTAGCCAACTTTAATGGCCGCCTTGTTGTAGCAGCAACAGTGAGAGCAGTAAACTTGAGTGATCGCCGTCCTCGCCATTGTCGTTCAAATGGAATAAAATTACTATCGGTTAATAGAAATTGTTTGTTTTTTGGAAGGGGATTTATGTCTATATATAGAGGGAGAGATTGAATTATGTACGGATTCCTCCAATAGTGCTTTACGTGGGCGAAAAGGATTATGGTTTTTTTCTTTAAAAGAAAAACTGCGGGTAATTTATTATTATTTATCAGAAAACGATTATTCAAATTAGTTAGAGGTGGTTAAGAGGTCATTCAAATCAGGTTTCGTTTGGGTCGAGTTATTTTAGATTTGGTTATTTCAAGTTTGGGCTTGATTTAGGTCAGATTTAATTCGGGTCGGGTCAAATTATAAATTTGTTTCGGTCATAAATTTGATTTAAATTTTATGATAAAAATTCGCATCCCACTTAATGCTCGATTTGATTTTTAGGTCAAAAACTTGTATCCTCCTGAACCATTTTTATTCGGCAAAACAATGACTTGATTGAGAGAAAAATATAGAGAATGATATTATAGTAATTATTTTTAAATATATAGAAGAAAACTACATTATTATCTCAGGTTCAGTCAATTCAGAGATTTTTAATCTAAACTTATACTTAAATCCGATCTAATCTTATCCTTTACTAAACTCAAACTCGAATTAGAAAAATGATCTTATAAAATCGAACTAAAACCCATCAAATTCAGATAAAATAATTATCCCTAAATATGATGATATAGTATACACTAAAAAACAGTGAATATTCGTAATATAATGAATATGTTGGCCTTGTACAATTTGTAGTAGTTGCTGTAAGATGATAATGATGAATGTGTTGAAGAATTATAAATTAGTAGGAATTTTAAATATTATTGAGTAATTTATTAAATTATTGAAATTAATAATACATTAATAAAATATATAAATTTAAAACTAAAATTGTTATTATATCATGCAATATCATCAAGTTTTAACAGAATTTTAAAGGTTGATGACTAAAATATGAAAAAGATAACATCTCGGCCTAGTTTACTAGAAAATATTTTGGTATTTTGCATTAAAATTAAACTTCACAAAAATAATATTGTTGTTTGAATGCAATTACAATAATAACATTCTTTTAACGAATCCACAATGTAATGAACAAAATCATCTTCGCCTAAACACAAGAATGTGAGTATGGCGTGTTTCAATATAAACAAAAAAGAAACTGTAGTCGTGAAAGAGGAACTTACTTTTCTTCAGTCTTCCGGAGAAGACGAAGATATGGATTTTCCTTTTCTATCCGAGGAGGCAGCGAGACCAGTGTCCGTGCTTCCTTCGATTTTCGGCTTCTGCATCTGTAGGAGTTTGAGCTGGTGTTGCAGCACCTAGTCGGTTTCGAAACAGAACAAAAGAAACAAGTTAGGAGGCTGTCCTAGTTGTGACATTACAATCTCGTGCCATGCAGCGGATCACACAATCATGCGCATGTTCGTATGTTAGCAGTGAATCATCAATACATAAATGATACCTCGATTTGTTGCTGAATTATCTTTTTCTGAGCTTCCAAGTGAGAATCTGCAACGTTCGAGTTACCGCTTGATGCCTCTCCCGAGTTACCATTAGCAAAAGGTAATTGGAAAGGAACACAAGCATAATGCGGGAATTGTGGAAATGGCATGCTAGCTTGTCCACCGGGAATGGCAACTTGTTCTCCGGTGGATGTGCTTGCGCCGTTAGCTTCAACTTTCATGGAATCGGCCAATGACCCGAGAGCCTTGGGAAGTACAGCATATCCAGGAGACCTGCATATACAATGCACAATTAGAAGAAAGTGCAACATGCTCAGCATTAATAGGAGTATAGCAGAATCGCTCCCTTTCAATCGCGGTTATGCATTTTACTTTCAAATACTCAGTTAAGTATCATGTAGCTCCTTCAGTAAGTCTTGATTTTAGATGATTGTTAAGTAGTTCTCGGCGATAGGCAGATAAAAAAGTCGAATGGAAAAAATGAGGAGAGATTATAAAGACGGAAAAAATTAGGAAATTGCATATTTCATTGACATGCAGCATGACAAGCATAAAACCACCTACCAAACTAGAGTGTTTGAAGAAGGATAGACGTAAGATCTCTCGTATATTGATGCTGCAGAGGCAGCAGCCTGAAGCCTGGCCTGATTCTGGGTCAAATTCTCAGCGGCCATGTCACCGTCAGAACCTTGTCTAGCTGAACTTGTGCCGGACCCTGTTCCCACTTTAAACAATTAGCTCACGTTTTTCAAACAGTAATGTCAGAATGATAACTGCAAAGAAAGAGTTCATCTTATGATAGATGATGTTACAATGAGGTTACCTTGCCCTTGAGCATTGGATGAACTTGTTCCGTTTTCAGGTGGTACAACCAGAGCTCTACATGTAGGGCAGGTATGCTGTCTTTCCAGCCATGATCGAAGACAGTGCACATGAAAAAGATGTCCACAGATTAACTTCTTTGCTGTGGTCATCTCTTCACGGCATATAATACAAGTTGCATCGTTTCTGGTCATCCAATCGGTAAGCAATTAAGAATCCGGAATACAAAATGCAATTAAAAGATTCCTAAATATATAAAACTGAGTACATAAACAAATACTATTTGACTCACGCAGTGAGCTCCTCAGGGGTTGCATCAGGGAATCTATCATTCATATTCAAAGCGATTTTCCTATAACGCATGAAGTCAGCAACACGAATTTTGAAATTCCTAAAGGTTTCATATAGCTCCCGTATCAAGTGAAGAGGTACGCCATAGTTCCTGCAGAAACACATTAAAAATCAACAACCATATCATCGATCAATATGTAGAATATGCACACACACACACAAGTAAATTAAGATATCGAGACTTGATCGTGCAGAAACTAAACAGAAAAAGTTTACTTACATGAAAATCACAAGAAAGAAGCATAAATACATAGACAAGTGAAGCAAGTCCCGGATGAGCTCCAAGTAGAAGGTATATACAGGCTTTTTTTCCCATTGTCCTTCCATAAGCATGTCACTTACATAGAAACAATATTTTATAAAAGTTGACACTATAGTCGTTGCCAATATCATGTACCTAGACCCGAAAAACTCAACATTAGTCAAGAGTGAAATTAGATAAACTGGAGAAACACACATCCATCACTCCCTAGTGCAGCTGGAACAGACAAAGAACAAAGATACATGCGAAAAATTGGAGATGTACAGAACACTTTGAAAGAAACAAGGGGGGAGGAATAAGAACTAGTCATTTTATGTAAATTATTGTAAAACATGACAAGAAGAATTGCATTTAGAAACTTTTCGACCAATAATCATTAATCGCAAACGAAAAAAATGTGCCAAGTTAAAATCTTACTCAAATGCAAAAAATAGGGAAACTGACGCTTGCCGTGTTTCGATCAGAAACTTGATTGAGCTGGACAAAAACAGACAATCTAGAACAAGAAGGAAACCCAGAAAAGAAACAATCCGAACATGAGACAACATAGGGACAGAAGGGGTTGTTTCAATGTACTCAACCCTTTTCTGTGCCAACCAATGCAAAGCCTTGATTAACAACAGAGCAGTAACCATCGTGAGGAATGGAACGGAGAAGTCCTGCCGGAATATAGTGATCGCAAAGAGGATCTCCATGACCTCTCTCCACGACTGCTCATTTAATCGCTCGACCTCGGCTTCACGAAGGGAACCAAGGAATATCCACTTGGTTATTTGCCATAAGGTGCACATAAAGACGAGCCCCATGTTGAGAAGCAGCACCAAGCTGATCTTCGAGGTTGATAAATACACCATAGCAGGATAAAACTGGCCTCTACTGTTAAATGCATGATAAATAACAGCTAGCATAGCGACTATGCTGACGCCGGCATATGTTTGCAGCCTCATCATTCCGTTCTGGCTAATTACCACACCGCATTGAAATTTAAAATCTAGAATCAAGGTACAAGACTATATCCTTCAATTAAACACTAAATTCGTTATGAAAAAATAAATATAAAAACATTGTCATCATAGTTCTAAATTGTGATTGCAATGCAGCCGCAAACCAAGTTCACCGTGTCCGAAATTTAGAAACATAATTATTTTCAGGAAACAAATCACGCCGTACATTGGCAACCGCAACACCGCATTGCAACCTCAATTTAGTACTATGATTGCGATAAACTAGAATCGTTTAAGAAAATTAAAAAAAGAAGAAGATATATTCTGCATCCAAATGCATGTAACTATACAAGTGCAAACATAAATTTCAACCACAACAAATTCAAATTTTCCATGAGACTATTCTCTCTCGTAACCAAACAATCAAATACGAGAACTTGGAAAATCGAAATAAAATCAATTAAATTGGGGTAAAATGTAAAGTAGATACATAAAGAAGAGATTAGGATTGACCCGAGAGAAACTTGGCGGGAAATGGAACCGACAAGGAGAGAGACCTTCGCTTTTGATATTTCTTTCTTCTTTGCTGGAGAATTATAACTAATGAAATAACGAATTTCTCTAAACTTCACCCAATAAATATGATGGCTATTTATTGAATTTACTATTTCTTTTTTGAATTTAGTAATATCATTGGAATAAATCAGATTTTAGTCACTGAATTTATTTATTTTATTCAACTAGATCTCTATTTATGATATTATCCGTTTCAAACTTGAAATATTTTTTATTTGAGTAAAATACATTAGATGTTATTGAACTATGCTTAAAAAATGTTTTTGATCATTGAATTTTTAAAAGTTTCAAAATAATCATTAAAGTATACATTATTATTTTTTATGACTTTTGAAAGTTCGGTGATAAATACATTCATTTGAACATAATTCAATAATATCTGATTACTTTATTTTTTTTATTTTTTTTATTTTTAATATAATATATTAGTTTTTTGAATAAAGATGATATATTATTTTAAAATTACGACATGTAACAGAACATCATGATCTCATGTCGTAAAATAACTAAAAATCCAAGAGTAACTTGGATTAACATATTTTTAAGGATGAAATTTAAAATAATTGTGAAATTTGAATTTATTCATTGCCTTCAGCAACCATTTTTCCTCATTTGATTTTTTTATGTAATTGCAGTCCTCGGAACCAATCAGCATAGCCCACATGGACTCATGTTAAAAGAATTTTTTTTATACATTTAATAAAAAAATAAGCTTTGTTTATTTTGTGACAAAAATATTATATTATTAATTTTTAAAGTTAAAACGTCGAATTGAAATTAAAATTTACAAGGTAAAACACCATTATTCACTAAATTTTGTTTGTGTTTTTGTTTAGGTCACTAAACTATAAAAAATTACAATTAAAACATTAATGTTCTTGAATCGACTTTTTATCATTAAACCCTAATTCCCAAGAATCAACTTACCCACATAATTGGAACTAAAAATGTTCTCATTTTTTTTCGGATTAATTTTTCTCGAAACTCACTTAAAAAAAACAAAAATCAAGTTATTTTGCTCGAAACCAAGTTATGAATCAATTTTATGACAATCTCTTCCGACATTATTCCCTCCTTTCATAAGAATCAAAATACTTATGCTTAAAGGTTATCGGATTCTTTATCGTTCCATCCGACAAGCACCAGACTTGGCCGTACCAATTAGTTGAACCTCGAATTAGTAGTTCAATCGATTCGACCAGTGATATAAAATCAAGTATAATAAAATTAGTAGTTCAACCTATTCGGCCAAAGGTATAAAATAAAGTATAATACGAACTGTTATTAATCGGAAAAAAAGTCGAGAGTTAAGAGCAAAAACTAATTGATCAGACTAGTCTGATCTTCAATTTTAGTAACAGTTCAAGTTAAATATTAGTTTGATTGAAAGTATAATATTATGAGCAAAAATATGGAATCCTGTTGCAAATTGTTCTGGTTTCTTGGCTCCAAGAATAGGAAGAAAACGCCAAATGGTAAAAATAAAGATGGATGACGCTGCAGAGCAAACAGGCCAGTGCACAAAACAATGCAATCAATAAACAGATGACCAACTGAAAAAACACAAAATCATAGATGTCCTATTGAGGACTTGAAATTGAAATATCTGCGAACTTATCTGTTTTTTTTTTTTTTTGCAATTTTTGGATCTTGGTTATGGTTGGAGAGATCCTTACTTGGCCATCATGACTTTGACAAACTCCTCATAGTTGATCTGCCCATCACCATCAACATCAGCTTCACGGATCATCTCATTGACTTCCTCATCCGTAAGCTTCTCACCAAGATTTGTCATAACATGGCGGAGCTCGGCAGCAGATATGAAGCCATTCTGATCCTTGTCGAACACCCTGAAAGCCTCTTTAAGTTCCTCCTCAGAGTCGGTATCTTTCATTTTCCTTGCCATGAGGTTAAGGAATTCAGGAAAATCAATGGTCCCATTTCCATCAGCGTCAACTTCGTTGATCATATCTTGGAGTTCTGCCTCAGTAGGATTCTGTCCAAGTGATCGCATCACAGTCCCCAACTCCTTCGTAGTGATGCAACCTACAATAAGGATGAAAAAGGAATGTAATGCAACGAAATAAGACTGCAATATCGGCTATGAAACAATCAAGATGACTGAATAATTTTTGCAAGAGAAACAGACAAAAATGATAGGCAAACATACACGGCAGAATTGGGATTGTGAACATTTTTTGAATGTGCCAGTGTATTAAATCAAACTTATTGTTCCATAAAAGTTACAAGATGCAGAAACATAAAGAATTAGAAGTTCGAAAACTCATGGATCAACTAATACGTCCAACCCATATATGATTTCTGGTTCAATAACCTTCATGTAGTAAATACTAAACATAATTTACACAAAAGAAATGCAACCTGCAGTCATGATTAAACCAAAAATCAAATCTCAAACATAAGCTAAAAGGAAAATCAACAGATGAAATGGCGGTCTTGGTAAGTCTCTTTTGCATGAAAAAGGATCTAACATAACCGAGTCAAATAAATAAAATCAATAAAATGACAAAAGGATGAAGAGAACGTAAATGAAAGGATAGAAATCAAGAGCAAGAACAATCAGGAACAAGTACGAAACCAAAACGAAGATCAATCACGACCATAAATTCATAATTCGGAACCCCAGATCCATCACACCATTCGAATCACGAAAGGATACGATCACAAAATTGAAAAAACAAACAAAAATTAAGCATAACAAACGAAAAAGACATTCAGATCAGCAAACTAAAGCTGAATTTAGCATAAGAAAACAACTACAGTAAAATTAAAATACAAAAAACAATAACAAAATAAATGCGAGAGAGAGAGAGAGGGAGATGAGAGAAGGGACCATCGCCATCTTTGTCGAAGAGACTAAATGCCTCCTTGAACTCAGAGATCTGGTCGTCCGTAAGCTGATCGGCCATTTTCTACTACTTCACACTAATTTTTCACTTTCATATATTATTATTATTATTATTATTATATATTACCGTTATTATTAAATAAATAATTACAAATCCAAGACCTAGAGGCCCATTTTACAAAATCTGAAGTCCAACAGTGATCGGTCCATATTTAGAAGTCCATAGGAAACCCTAAACCCAATTTAAAATTTATATCATCTCAGCCAGTCGCCAGCTCCTTTCTACCGTCAGATCAAGATAGATCCAAGGGTCCCCAGATGTGCCAGAAAAAACCCTAGGGTTATCATCACCCTAGGGACACGTCGCCGACTCTTTGGCTGCCAACATCTTGCCAACGCCAGCCGCCTCTCCACGTCGCTCTGTCGCTGCTACGCTTCAACAGAAACATCCAGAGGAAGCAAGGAACGCCGTCCACATTTCAACTATGGGGTGAGTCACCACCTACGGTTTGGTGACTCACCGAACTTCTTCTCTTTACCCAGATCGAAGAGGACACCAGTGGTGGCTATAAAGCCATCACCAAACCTGCAAAGAAAAAGAGGAGTCAGCCACGGAAAGCAAGAACGGAGAAAGCCACAACAGAAGACACAGACAACAACCACGACAGCAACCCAAGAGAAAAACAGAAAGTAAGAGAAAGAGAGAGACTTACCGAGGAGATTATTGTCATCGAGGCCTCCCTACGCTGTTAAAATACCAAAATACAGAAGTTAACAAGCTTAGATCTAGGTCGGGTTAAGGATTTTTAGGCTAAACGGGCCTCGGTTTTGGCTTTAGGGTATTTAGGGCCTCGTTTTGGTATATTTTAGAATTTTCTGGCCCCCGTTAACGGTGGCCGACAGCGGTGGTCGGAGCCCGGCAGCGATGGCTGACCGGGACTGTGTTCTCTCATTTTAGAGAGAAGCCGGAGAGAACTCTGGTTCTCTCATTTTTGAGAGAGAAGAGGAAATGAAGAAATGAGAACAATGGCCTGTAGGGCCAGCCGGTTTTGGGTTTAAATACCCTCTCCCAAACGAAGCCGTTTTGGGGAGGGTGTTTCTGTAATTTTGCTGATGGGTAAACCTTTTCCTCCACCATCCGAGTTTTGTAATTATTCATTTTAGTCACTGAAACTAACTTCTGAACGTTTTAATTCAGTCTTCGAATTTTATTTTATTATGTTTTAGTCCTTACCTGTATTTTATATGTATATTAGGGCAAATACCCATTTTAGTCCCTCATAGTTTAATTAATATTTATCTTAATCACCTATTAATTAATTAGTTTAAATTACACTATTAGTAATTATATTTTTATAATAATTCAAAATATGCCCTTTAATTTTGATATTTTACTTTTTAGTCACCAATATTTTGTTTCTTTTCATTTTTGACCCTGATTTTTTTATATTTTGCAAATTAATATTATTGCTTTTTAATTTATTTTAATCATTATTTATTTATTATTTTGTTATTACTTTTATATTATTTTATTATTATTTTCATATTAGTCACATAAATATATATATTTTTAAATAATAATCTTTATTTATTTTCAATATCAAAGAAAAGGGCAGTCTTAATACAATTAGATGTCCTATTCTGGTATTTTAAATAATTAAATATTATAAATATTATAATTTAGTTTTATTTAAATTATTTGTAGGAAAAAATTATTACATATTTTAATATTTATTTATTAATATTGAAGGAAAGAGTTATTTTAAAGCAACTAGAAACATTTTTCTAATATTTTTAAATAAATAAATATCTTACTATATTAAAATAGTTTTTTATTATTATTTATTTATTTTTTAATATCAAAAGAAAGAGCTGTCTTAAAGCACCTAGAAGTCCTTTTCTGATATTTCTAAATAAATAAATATATTATTATATATATATATATATTTTCTTTTAATTATATTAATAAATTTGAAATAACATGATTATAAATTAAATATATCTTTGAATTTTTAATTTCTAATAATAGAGACAATTTATAATTAATAAGTATCAATTTTGGGCGTTGTGGGGATGTTAATCCTTCCCCAAACGTAATCGACCACGAACCCCTTTTTATTATTAAAAAACACGAATTTTTATTTATAACGCAGATCAGTTTATCTTTTAACTAATGTTTTCTTAAAAACTTTTTTAAAATATAATTTTTAGGTATTTGACCTACCTGACCCAAAAGTCCAATGGCGACTCCCAAAATATTTTTAAAAACCATTTATTCACATCACTTTTTCCGTAAAAATAAAAAATTCGTACCCGGACGAAAACCGGTTACGACACTTCTCTTTTTCTCGGAAAAGAGGTGTTTCAGGAGAAAGAAAGTCGAAGAGAAAAATAACAGCGAATGTATAACACGTGTATATAAAGGGCCCAATACCGTAGGGCATCTGATTCCCTCTCATACGAACTCATTTGTTTACTTTTTTTCCTGGGCTTTATTACTAAATTGACCCCTAAATTATCCGGATTTTCATATTGATTCTTAGGGATGGGTATAGGATCCGACAGATTTTGATCCGATCTTATATGATCATTTTTTTAATTTGGATTCTAATTAGGTTGTTTTGAAGTATGATTTGGGCCCGAGTTTATGTGAAAAGTCTTCGATACGAAAAAATAGTATAATTATCTTTTATATATTTAAGGATAATTGTAATAATATTTATCTTTTTATATTTTTTGGGGCCAGGTTTTTTTTACTCAAACATCGAATCAATTTCGGGTATGATAGAGCCTCCCTAAATTTAAATTGAATTAAATGACGAATGAAAGAATATAACATTTAAATCAAATTCGAGTCAACTAAAAACCAGACCACATCACTTACAGTATGTGAAAAAACATTTATATCAAGAGAAAAGTATAGTTTCATAATATCAATATATTATGAAGTTACTCTATCAGCAAAGGTAACAACTTGTGCAACATCCACAACAATTGCATTTCGACGTTTCTGGTTTTTGTGAAACCATATATACTAAAGAAGCACAAACATACGAACAAACCTATAAGAAGAAAGAGGAATGGTATGAACATTTTAATATCGATATTTTCATAAAAGATGAACAATGACAGGTGGTGATTGGCTACCGACGACGATCGTAAAATGAAATGTCAAAAATGAATATATTTTAAAATTTGACAAAATCGATACACCCTAAACTTCAATACAAAAAATGACGTCGTTTTAGGTATCAGTAATCATCGCCCACGTCATCACTATGTTTGAATTTTAACATCCTAGTAGCATAATTGAAGTGAAAATCGAAGTTTAATATTATAATTGACAAAATTAAAAATTCGGTGATATGAACAATATAACATTTAAATTTTAGTGGTATATAGTGTAGTTTATTCTTTTTATTTGTATGGATTTTCAAACACGAATGGCATATACCTTAAGAAATTATATTTAAAATACAAATCGTTCAAATTTAATTTAGGGTGGTTCCTAACAACATAATGGCATTCCTAATATAAACAAGAAGTAACACAACCGACAAAACAACCAAAACCATGTTCATAACTTTTCTCGGATTATTAATCCCCTTGTTCATACGAATCCTTGTCTGATATTCTTCGAAGTCGTCGGGTTTTTTTGGATTCGGGTTTTTTCGGTCCACAACATCTCGCGGATCACTACGAAATCCATTATCAGCAATGTTATTCTCCTCATCATCTCCTGTTCGTTTTTCCACTGCGGTTATTGGAGGACGGGGAGGAGATCGTCCAATGGTGTCGTTTCGTTTCGGTGCAGGTGGGCTTGGAGGCGGTGGAGCCGCCACGGGAGGAGCAATAACGGTGTCGTTTTGTGTCTTAGCAGTAGGCTTTTGATCAGACTGATCTTCATCGGCATGGATTATCAATTTGGGGAATTTAACGTGGAGCATGCCGCCATTGAAGTTTGCTCTAATTTTGCTTTGATCACAGTTCGATGGAATTGAAAATTCCTTGAAGAATCGGCTAATTTTGTCGACACCAATTGGGCGTTCTCCAGATATCCTCATGTTTCCCCCGGTGGTTACCTGAACTTTAAGTTGCTCCTTCTTGAACCCTGTTTAGTGAATTATTTAGATTTCATCAACAAAACTCGAATCGTCCTATAAATTTTAAATTTATCTATTTCAAATCATGAATTCAATTTTATTTTGATTATTAAACTAAAAAGACAAAGGTTAATTTTTGTCTCTGTAGTCAATTCAATTTATCATTTTCACCCTATAAAATTTTCGCATCAATTTAATCCTCAAAATTATTTAGTTGTATCATTCTATACCTCATCCCTAATTTAAAACCTTAAATTGATAACCCTAAACTCAAAACCATAACTATATAACCTCTATCTCTAAACCTTAAACCTTAATTTCTAACTTTAAACTCTCAATTTAGAGTTCTAATTGATGGTTTAGGGTATAGAATTATACAATTGAGCAGCTTCAAGGGTTAAATTAATACGAAAATACGATAGGGGAAAAATGATTAATTGAAACTACTCTAGAGGCTAAAGTTACCTTTTACGAATAAAAAATTATTTCAATTAGACGATTATTAAATTAATTTCAATTAAGCAATTGATGGTTAATTGTTAAAGGAGTTGTAGTCTTGTAGATATAGTACTTAAATAAATTTGTATCATTTGATCTCATTACTCATACATTCTATCAATTTAATCTTAATTCTAATTAAAATAAATTAACAATTTCTAATTAAATCTAAACTCACACACATGCAAACAACATAGCTTGAGTCTAGATCATCTAGAAAGAACAAAATTATTTTTAGTCACTAAGATCACTTTAAAGATTCAAATTAATAATTTTAATTCTCTAATAAAATAGTAACATGTACTATCACCTTATCGAAAGAACATAAAGAAATAATAAAAGATAAGGATCAAGTGAACTTTTTTTAAGTAAACTACCATTTAATTATGAACGATCTTAATCTAATCATCGATATTTTAATTTTATCAATTAGATCACTTAATTATTTAAATGATAGATGATATTAACTCCTCTGTAGATAATTTGATTGACATCATCTAAATAGTTATGCGATTGAAAGATCAATAGTTAAATTAAAATCTCCTTATACTTTTTTCTTAATATAATCGTTATTATTTGATCTATTTATCGACTAATATGGATTAAATATTGCAGGAGTTCATTATGAGACTTTCTCAACTTAATTTTCTCTATTCTTAGAATTTGAGCCACTAACCTTGTTCTAATAGTCGATAATAATTTATTGTTTTGCCCCGCTGCATATTTAAAATTATAATAATATGTTATAGAATAAATGCTACAATATCAAGTTTAGTCCCTTCAAAATAGTGAAAATATATTTTAGTCCTCGAAATGACAGAATTGTAATTTAATCCTTTTAAAATTATATAATTATAATATATAGTAACGATAATATTATCTATTAACGATAAAATCAAAATAATAAAATTTTCAAATTACATATAAAAAGGACTGGATCAAGACCTGGTAGATATGCAATTAAGGTGTCGTCTGCAACCTGACGAACCCATTCAGTGGGCACCTCGAACTCCTCGAAGACGACGTTTGGCTTCGAATCCATGTCTTGGTATTATTATCAAATTAGCCCTTTGAAATTTTAAATCTTTTGATTACTGTCTTCCGGAAATGAATACGAAAGCCCTATTGTTCTTGATGGTTTTTATATACACAGAACGAGTAAACATAAAGTGTTGGTTTCTTCTTTTTGGTTTTGCTTTCAATAGAATTATTCTTTTTTTTTTTCTTGTTTCTCTTGCATGGTATGATTGTTATCTTGGTCACAAGACATGAGATATAATATCGAAGAAAAAGTTAAGAATTTTGAGTTCGGATCAAGATAAAATGATAAAATCTTGGCTTACAACTTATAAAGTATAGGATAAAGCGAAAATATATAAATATATGAACCGTGAAGTAATAAGTTATCATGTATATATAATACAGATAAATCATATTTTAGCTTTTGAATTTGTATATTTTCTATTAGTACTGATGACATCATTATTAAACAAGGGAAAGAGAGATTTCCGCATCTAAAATTTTTGGTATAATAATAATTTAGGTATTTATAAATGTAAATATTAGGTAAATTAACAAAATTTAAATCAGCTATCGCCTTCAAAATTTTGAGTTTAAAGCTTTTATATATATATATATATATATATATATATATATATTTAAAAATGGTATATTAACAAAATTAAGTCCCAACGTTTGTCTAAATAATCATTTTAATCACTATTATTTTTGGAGTATTTTAACCCTTAATATTTCAATTTTGATCAACATAACCCTTGTTGGATGAAAATATTAGTTAACGAACGATCAATTCATATCACTAAAGTTGTATTTTCATATTTGTTTAATTGATGATGTGGCACATGTTACAATATCACTCTAGGTGATATGGTATATTATACATCATTACTTTTGGTGATATGACATATGACATATCATCAATTAATTACATGTTAAAATGTCATGTCAGCAATATGCATTGATCCATTAGTAAATTAATAATTTTCATCCATTAGAGATTATTTTTATCAAAAATTAAAATATTATGAATAAAATTATAAAAAAATAAAAACCAAAATGATCATACAAACAAACATTGGAGGCTAATTTGATCAGTATGCCTTTTAAAATTCAATATCTCGATCTCTCTCAGTATTCTATTCTTGATACCAAAGTTTTCTTTTTCCAAATTTGCCCATGAACTTATCTACTTTCCACATTTTAGTACTTAAAACTTTTATTTTCCTTGGTTTGGTAATGATCTCGTTTACAATTAAAGGAAAATTTGGCATGTAATGATGTGATTGGTAAGAGCCCAAAACAACCTAAGCCATCATTGTAGAGTACCCAAACCCTCACACACATCTTAAAAGGAAGAAGGCCAAAGAACCAGACTGAGAGAAAGCGATAGATTAATTTAAGAAAATAAAAATTTAGTGATAGGAAAATGGGAGATTCATCATCAACAGATTCGTTCTTGAAGAAACACTGGCAAGGATACAAAGAATTCTGGGCCGAACGATTTCCATTTACTGATGTCTATTCTAGATTCATCAGCCGCCAAGAGTCTCTTCCATCATGGTCTGAATCCGATGTTAATGAGTTCATCGCTTCTGATTTGGTTCACGGTCCTACCGTAATAATCTCTTCCCCTTTCGCTCTTTCTTTCTCTTTCATTTTTTGATTTTTTTTGGAATCGGGTTTCCTGATTTAGTTCAAATTCTAGCAAATTTTGATTATCGATGGAGTTTACGTTTTAGAATAATGTCATGAAACCAGTAGTTAGAAAGGAAACTATGAAACCAGTAGTTAGAAAGGAAACTATGAAACCAGTAGTTAGAAAGGAAACTAAGTATAGTAATGAATTTGGAGGAAGCTATTTTGGTGCTGGTGTAATTGGTAGTGGAACTATGGGTGTACAACTTCTAAGTTTTGCCTATGCTACTTGTTGTATCTCCTCCGGGTAGTATCCACAAATCGTATTTTCGCTGCCAATCCTCCGCCTATAGGAGCCTCCGGAATTCTTGAGAAGTCTTTGGAATTTCATGACCTTTGAAATTCTATAGGCCGATCTGATTGTTGTCAATTTCATCACTGGTTAAATTTATTATATAACCCTCAGGTCTACTCATCTTGTCGATCTACAAATAGCCATCATCGCCTTAGGACTGACACCAGCAACAAGAGGAGATATATAACTCGTCCTGCGAAATAGAAGAACCCTCTCTTTTCTCTCTCAAAATCTCAACCCTCTCATTTGTTCATCTTCTTCCTCATATTATCATCTCTCTTCCCCTCTCACATAGTTAGGTGACTCGCAATTTCTCTATCCAAACCAGAAGAGGTAAATCATCCACAACTGTCGTGAACACTGCTCCCACCACTTAGAAGCCATTGCTTAGCAGATTCGAAAGCCTTAATCTGAATCTGAAGATTATAAACTTGCTTCTCCAAGGAATTCAGCTATATTAATCATATTTTGGTGTTGCTTGTGTCCGCCTCGTTTGAGCGGAATGGCTATGCTCAGTGATTACCAATTTGTCACAGAACAGTGTTTCAACAATATATATATATATATGAGAAAGAAGGAAGAAGGTAAAAACCAGAAGATAGTAGAAAGAAGAAAGAGATAAAGAGTTTTATGGTTTTCCATTCATAGTCATGTTAATGCACTAGGTTCATATATATGCAAGAACATAGCCATACCCTGCAACTTCTAGAGGCTAGAGAGTTGTAGGTTCACATATTTTCTCAGATTATCCATTTTTTAGCTAGTAGCTTTTGTTTTAGAATTCCCATAGCTGCTAGATTCCGCCTTCAGTTGTTCCCTCACATAGTATTGCTTTGTTCTCTTTCTAATATGAACACGTTGTTGTCCTTCTATGTGATTTTATGTTGAGTATTTTATAATGTTGAAACTTGAAAGTACTATTGAAAATGTTGTGTTTTTTTCTAATTGATTCAAATATCGAATGTTATCTCCTTAGGGTCCATATGCAGCTAATGCTATTGTCATTTCATTGCAGTAGAAAGTCTCAAATTGCTTGATTTCATTTGTTTCCTTTTTCAGTTGAAGACTGCTAGGGAAGCGGCAAACACTGCCTTGGCAGGAAGTGCTGTTGGAGCTATCTCAACTGCAGGTCTGGCCTGGAAATACTCAAAGAGTTTACATGGTAACATGCTCTGCTTATTCTCTTTGGTCTCATTTTTTGTTATATAAAATAGTGATGGAACTGTCGAAATCTGGTTCGGTCTGAATACTGATCAAAATCCCAGTTCCTTTGAAGAATTAGGGGTGTATGTTTCCCCTGCGGTAGTCAAAGAAGTTTTACAAGGCAATCTCACTGTTCGCAATGAGTCATAATCCCTCGTGTTTTCTGCATTCTCCGCGTGAACTGAAGTTCATTAGTATCTTATAAGGTTTTTTGTCTCTTGGTGGCCTGTCAAGGTCTTACTAGTATCTTTCTTTGCTGGTTTCTAAGCACTGCTAGTACTAGCATGGTCCAGCTTGTTCCCGGGCTCTTGGTTTATACTAATACAGCTAAAGTAGATAGGAGAAACAGAAAGAATGAAGGAAAAAAGTACAATTAGCCTGGTTTTCCGGATAACGAAAACACAAAAAGACTCGGATGAAAAATAACTTTTGTTCATTTAAGAATATGCTATGTTGCAATTTTACTGGTGTTATAAATCGGTGTTAGATCTTGATTCGACTAATATTACGAGGCGAAGGGAAGTTATTTTAAGCTTCTCCACATTGGTTTCTCGGATACAATAACACGAAAAGACCTGGAAGAAAAAAAATAACTTTTGTTCATTCACAAGATGAGTTTTTGTGTTATAGCTCGGTGTTATAAGTGATTTGGTTAATGTCATGAGACATGAGGAAGTTATTTTAAGCATCTCAAACCCGATTTTTCTCAGGTGCCGGACTGGCTTTCTTAGGAGGAGGCGTTTTTGGTTGGACATTCGGACAAGAAATCGCAAACCACTGGTATCAACTCTACAGGTTGGACACAATGGCTGCACAAGTCAAATTCATGGAGTGGTGGGAAAACAAGTCCCAGAGGCGATTGTAAAACTTATCGTGCTGCTGAAAGCAGTGCCTGCTCGGTTTCCATCTGTTTAATAACGGTGACATGTCGGAAACATAATGTTTGGTTTGATACCGGAAAGGTTTTTTTTCCCTTTTAGAAGCAACTTGATGAAACCAGTTGTTAACATTACAATACTTTTGTCCCAATAAGTTTGCTGCAGCTCTATCACAGTTAGCAAATTATTTGAACTTTTGATTTTGTCCATTATAGTTTCACCTTGAAAAATGTGTAGAGATTAACACGATGCCGACGGAATGAAAGTTGAAGAGCTAAATTGATCAAAAAATTAATAAAAGGACTAAAATGAGAACGCCACTAAAATAAAGAGGCTAAAGTAAATATTAAGCCTAAAATTAAACTGGATTAGTTTAATAGGTACCGTTCTTACTACTATAACTTGGAGGACGTGAGTAAGCACGTAATTTCCTTCAATAAAAGGTTTGGAGCTGGCCTCCGGCAGCAAGGCAGGTGTCAGCCAGCCGATCTACCGAAACAAAGCTTATTCATGAATACAGTTCCAGCATTCTAGACAGGTCCAACTTCATAAAGATACATAAATAAATACGACCTAGTAAGAGGGGGGCAGGGAGCCGGCCTTCGAAACCAAGGCTAGTTTTCGCCAGCTGATCTACCGAAAGGAAGCTTATTCACAAATACAGTTACAGCATTCTTGGCAAGTCCAACTTCATAAAGATCCATAAATAAATACGACCTAGTAAGAGAGGGGGGGAGCTGACCTCCGGCAACAAGGCCGGTGTCGGCCAGCCAATCTACCGAAAGAAAGCTTATTCATGAATACAGTTCCAGCATTCCTGGCAGGTCCAACATGATAAGACTTAAGAGATAAAATGAAAGATCCATAAATAAATACTAAAGATCATAATATATGTGTGTGTTTGTATAATAAGAGAGTGATAACCACATGGAACCAAACATCATAGCTTTAGATAGGAATGTATATCAGACAAAAGATCATTGATACATGGATACTGAAATCGACCGAAACTGACATTTTAGCCTACCTTTGACGCTGAAACACTTTCAGTTGATGCAATCACTGAAACAATACTTATTTGGATGATGAACTTGTAGCACATGAAGCTTGCACGCTGGTGCCGGTTAAGGGAGCTTCACCTGTGTCTGATATCTGGTGGTGATTTGGTTCTGGATTAGAACTATTCTCTGAACTGCTAGTTACAGTAGCCGTGCTGGTTTCATGATTATTTGGTTCTGGATTAGAACTATTCTCGGAGCTGCTTGTTATAGTATCAGTGCTGTTTATATTATCTCGGGTTTCTAGACGTTCCTTCATGCGAGAGACTGTTGCAATGCCAGCATTAACCTCTCTCCTTACTTCAGAATCAATATCAGCCATGGAAGTGTTGCGAGAGAAAAATCTCTCTTTCCAGCCCCTTGTACTCCTTGAAATCGACTCTTTGTATCTAAAGAGATTCATAAGTCAGAACGAGGGCACAAACTTACATAATAAACCATGTAAAAGGAAATATATGAATATCTTCCTAGTTAAAATCTTAAATGTCTCCATACGACAGATACCTCGTCGAAACAGCATTAAACCGTGATTTTAGTGATTCGGAAAATGATTGAACTTCTGAAGATCTGGCTCTATCTTGACTATTTGGAGAAGACAGACTAGGGGACCTCCTGCAAGATAGAAAAATGTGTTCTAAATAAGTGTGTCGGATAGAATCACCTGATAATCGGAAAATAAGGATAATCAAGTCGGGGAATAGCAAGTACCTGGTATTCGAGGAATTTCCTTGATCATTGACCGAAAGAGCACTGGAGCCAGATGCCGAGACAGACTGCTGATCAGCTAGGACGGAAGGTAGAGTAATTGATGCCAAAGATTCTCCCCCCACTGTTCTTGCAGGAGAGGATGGAGTTCCAACAGTGATCGCAGGGGCAGGTTCACCTTCACTTTGAGTTGGAGATAACGAAGATACATGATCCATCGAGGAGGGTTCATTCGAAGGAGCAAATACCAAGAACTGTGGAAGACGCCCTTGAGCTGATGACCTATTCCTCAGAGCTTCCCTTCTTGAAATGTGGCGTGCTCGCCCAATTGCAGCAGCAGCAGCCAAGTGCTGAATTATGCGCTCCTCAAGTTCTGTCTCATTCACTCCCACCGGCAACTGCAATTAAAAGCAAGCCCAATGAGAACGGCTCTTTCTTAAGAATTTGGATTGGATTCAATTTAATGATCACAGAATGAAGATGCTACACATCAGGCTAGCAGAGAAGAAATACAAACATGTTGTAGTTCGAAATCCCCAAGAGTCGGATGACGAAATATGGTAGCATTTCTCGAAGGGTTGAACCTGAGACTCCTTTCCCGTTCGACAGCCTCAAGCAGCTCCTGGCTGCCATAGCAAGAGAAAATCGTTAATGTAATATAAACGGCAAAAAGAACCAGAACCAGTTGAAATGCCAACCTGGTAGGATCTTTCAGGCTAATTGGCTGCCAACACATGGGGCATTGGGAACTCCTTTGACACCTGCAAGATCAAAACAGTAAAATGACAAATTAAGTAGATGAACTCTGTCGGTACAAATTTTACCAGTTTCACGAGTCTGGTCGATTTGGATTTTTTACCAAGTCATTTCAACGAGTGATCTTAAGTAATCAGACAGAGGTACAATGAAAATAAAACTGATATAAACTACAACGAACTCGATAAAATGGATATTGGTTATACTACCATTCAAGTATGCACTGAAGATGGAACTCATGCTTGCAGCCAGTCACCTGTAAGTGACAGCGAACATCGATCAAGAAATGTACATTCAAATATCAAAGGAACGAGAATCGAAATTCTCAAAGATGTATACCGTGGAGGGATCGCTTTCACAGAATGCTTCCAGGCATATACTGCAGGCATCATCACAAGGATCCTGGATTCCCCCTTCCACAAAAGCCGCAGCTGAGGTTAAACTTGCCTCGGAATTGATCTCTTCCATCCCCTACAAAGGCCAAACACGAAAACATCCGATTTCGATCTCGAATCCCAATTTTCTAAAGATAAAACAAACAGAAAAATGAAGCTAAATCATGTCCTATGCATGAAATGAAACCAACTGCGACCTTACAAACAGTTCATATACAATCAACAGGGAAGACACCTACACAACACTGATCAAATGCATAAAATGGTGAAATCAATACCCTTTTAACAAAATATCAGCAAATTAAGCCTAGAAAACTTTCTTTTTTTAAAAGGCTAAACTACGCCGAACCTCCAAAATTCACAATAGCAAATCACCCAACTTTTCCCCACAAATTCTAGAACTTTTCTTCGATATTCTCACCGATCAAACACCAGGGAAGAAACCCATGAAAACAAAATCAAAGAAACACCCAGAAATCAGTTTACCTCCAAAGAAGAAAAACAACACAGTAGATCGGTTGATAGAACCCGAGCCAAAAGACCGTAGAAAATTTTTTTGGGCAAAGGTGGAGACTTTGAAATTGGGGTTGTTTGGGAAGAATCGCTGAAATTGCTGACTTGGTGGGGGGGTGAAGGAGGTGGAAAAAAACAAACCAACCTCAAGCGGGGGTCGGGCTCGGGTCCAATGGAGTCTGTGATAGTGAAACGTGGCAATTACACTGTAATATTCTTCACCATTCATTGTTTTATCAAATTCTCTCGTTAATCATTCGACTATAAATTAAACTCTAAATAGTCTATTCATTATCAAAATCGATTTATCTAATATATATAATGATTTAAATTTAATTTATAATTTGAATTGAATTAAAGTTAACATGGACTTAAATAAATTAATATTTGAATACAAAAATTATAATTTCAAACTAAATCTAAATCGCATCCACTTGAATCAAACTTAAAATTAAATGTAATTTATATTTAATTTTTTTACTAGAGTTTGATAGTATGACTCAATTAATAAGGCTAATATAAATATATCAATTATCAATTGATCGGACAAAATAAAATGTTAAGTCTTTTAACAAAACGCAATCTTAAAAATAATTATTTATGCAGGATCTGATTTTGAATTAGTTGATTAGATATAATAACATTAAAATTTTATAATTTGCTTTTAATGTTTTTAAAAAGTTTTGTGTTTTTAATATTAATAATATAATATTTATAAATCTGTAAGTTTTATTATAGATTCAAAAAAAGTATATAAAATAAGTTATTAAAAAATTGAATTTGGGCAAATAAAGAAATTTCTTCTTTTTGTTTTTTATGTAATTAAATTTTTTTTATTAAAAAGACATATATGATATTTTAATATATCAATAAAACTGTAACACGTGATAAAAAGATAACATATTAAAATTATGGGTAAACTATACGGATAGTCCCTCATATTTTCAGTCGGTCTGATTTTGATCACCTATTCAAAAGGAGTGGTTTTGATCCTTACGTTATCAATTCGTCCGGTCCGATTTTAATCCCTCTACCGTTGATAATGTTGAACCATTAACGAAGCCTGATTCGACAATTAAAAATTTAAGAAATGAAAGGAAAAAAAAAACATGTGTCTTCTTCTACTTTATTATATGGAAGAGAAAATTGACGGAACTTATGATCTTACGGCTCTTATTAGTGGGGACCTTCGACGCATTTAAACCTTTTTGTGAGTCAAATCATTGAAAACTTACATTCAATCATATTAAGTACTCAAAATAATAAACTTTGCATGGTACCTAGCAGCTTGAAAATTACGGTGAAGAAGTTCAGGAAATGAAAAACATGAAGCAGCGGGAATATGTTGGCCATTTAAGGAGGTTGGTACTGATTTTCATCTAAGTTCAATTTTTGTTGATGATAAGTTAAAATCTGCATTTGTCTACAGGAAAAGTAGTGGGTTCTAAAGTGTTAGTAAAAAGATATTTTTATGTTAGTCTTGACTAACGTAAATAATAAATAAATAAATAAATAAAATTAAGATGATATAATTATTGTGCCGTGTAATTATTGTCTTAGAAGCAATTTCGTCCGGATTAGTATAATCTCGAAAATGGACTCCACTCCCCATGGTTAACAAAGTATTCCGAATTTCGTACACCCGAAATAAGGAAGTGAAACTCTGAATAGTATTACTCTTTTTGGATAAAAGAAAAATATTTTATCCAAAGAAAATACTACCGGAATAAAATATCAAAAGCCACCGAAAAAGAAAAACTTCA